TTGCTGTCTTAGGGGGCTCACCCCTCCACCTAATGCCTTTAATCTGGTCTCTATACAAGTTGTTTCCACAACTGAATGGAAGATTCTTGAGGGCAGGCATTGTTTTATTTTTGTCTTCATCTCCCTATCTAAGCCTAGTATGACGTATGGCACTTATTAGGGGCTTATTAAATTCTTGTTGATGAATCCCTTCCCATCTCTTTTTTAGATCTTGGTCTCCTACTCTACTGTGTCCCCTTTCTGAGAAGGTACAAATATTTCTAGTTCTTCCATATTCTTAAAAAGCTTTCATTCAATCTCATTATCCTTTAAAGATATTGTTCCATGACTGCACCTACATAACCTATATTACATTGCTAACTGTCTTAGAGAGGAGGTGGTGAGGGAGGGAGATAATTTGGAACTCAATTTTTTAAAATGAATGTTAAAAATTGTCTTCACATGTAATTGGAAAAAAATAAAATACTATTTAAAAAAAGCTACTGTCCCATCTTTTTCTTCCTCTTCACTGTCAAAATTTTGTTTCTAGCCATTCTCCCTTCAATTCCTTGCAGTCTGGTTTCTGCCCTCTCCACTCTGAGGTTGTCAATGACTTTTTCCTCTATCTTTATCCTCCTTTACTTCTCTCCAGTATCTCACATTATTGACCATCCCCCTCGTTCACAACATTTTTTCCTGCCTTGTCTTCAGTGACAGCGCTGTCCTGGATCTCCTCTCAACACTGACTCCTTTCTAGCCCCCCCCCAAAATACGCATCCCCTAAGGCTCTGTCTCATGATAATTTATTCTATTCATGCCAATGACTTCAGCTATCTTATCAAGGCACATGACTCCCAATTCTTAATCTTTAGCCCTACCCACTTTCCTGAGCTCTGGTTCTATCCTGCACAATTCAACTTGAACATCCCATCCAGAAGACACGGGTTTAAATCACACCTCTCCAGCGTACAATGTGCCCTTGGACAAGTTACTTAACATCTCTGGGCCTCAGTTTCCTCATCTACTAAATGGGAGGGTTAAACTTGAAGGCCTTCGAGATACTGCCAGCTCTATCTCTATGATCCTGTGACCTTCAACCCAAACTCAATGTTAGAGGCAGCACTGTAGTGGAAAGAACCTTTGCATGAAAGCCAGTATTTCTGGGCCAGGCTCTGCCACTAAGGATATCTGCAACCTTGGGTGGAAAAGGGCTATAACAGCCCTTAACAGATTTAAAGTCATTTTGTTAATCTCTAGGGCACAAAGATATACTGTGGAAAACTTAAGTTGGTCATAAAATAATCATACTTGGTATAATTATTTTTTACTAGACTTGGAGAATTTGCTCTCTCAATGCAGATGGGCATCTTATAGTCTTAGAGCACTGCTTGAGGCATTGAAAAAAGCCAGAGACAGAAACTGAACTAAGCTCTTCCAGACAACGGTGACAGTATTCTCTTTGTTATCGTGCTAGAAGATATGGAAGGGGGGAAAAAAGCAAGAGGAAAATTTTGAGAGGAAAAAATTTGGGAATTATTTTCTCTCCTATTGTTGGGGAGAGGAGAGGGGAGACAGCTGAAAAAAATTACTGGAATATTTTTCAAAATTATTTTTTATCTCAGAATTGACCATTTAAGATCATCTCTAATCATTGAGCCTAGAGAGTCAGCCCCAGACACCTTCAAACCCTCAGCATCTAGGGGAGTGTTCAACTCTCTCACTTCCACTTATACAGCCACCAGCAATAGGCCCTATTTTCATAGGGTTGAGTTGGAAAGGCACTTGGACATCACTTAATTCAACCTCTCATTTTTTATAGACTGAGGAAACTGAGGTTTAAAGAGTGCCAAGTAGATAATTACCCAAAGTCAGGCAGCTACTAAGCAGCAGTACTGGCACTAATATGGAGATCATAGTGTTATATAGATCTACAGCTGGAAGGGACCTTGGAGACCTGTAGAGACCACCCTTTATGATGAGGAAAATGAGGCCCAGGGAGGTTAGGTGACTTGCCTAGGACCATACAGCTTGTCAGTAACAGAGGTGGGACTTAGTCAATAAGCATTTATTAAACACCTACTATGTGCCAGGCTACTGTGTTAGGTAGGCACTGAGAATACAAAGAAGCTGCCCTCCAGGAGCTTCCAGTCTAATGGGTGAAGACAATATGCAGAAGTATATAATATAAATATACAAAATACACTTGAACAAGTCTTGGCATCACATTCACTAAGTCATATGGCCTCACTAGGTCTTTGGAGTCTTTCCTTGGGGGCCTTTGACAAAGTCACCTTTGACCTCTTTCATTCTCCCCTACTACAGAGAAAATGGCTCGAGGATACCCCACCCACACCCCATCTCCTCCAGGGACCCTCCCCAGCCTCCTTAGAGCGCTCCCAGGGCCCCAGGAGTCTGGAGAGAGGGAAGGCCCCCTCCCCCTTAACTGTCCCTCCACCTCACCTGGGAGGAGGCTGGGTCAGGCCTTAGGGCGCGTCCAAGGGCAGCTCTAGGAGGGGGGGAATTAGAGGAGGAAGGGAAGGTGGGGCCCGAAGGAGCTCCTCCTTCCCCACCATGGGGGAAGGCGCAGAGCTAGAAGGAGCTCCCTTCACATACAGAACCTGAGGGGCAGAGTCTGAGGAAGCACCCCCACCAGAGAAGGGGCGGGGCCTGAGGAAGCGTCCGCCCCGTGATGAATTAGGGGGCGGGGCCTGAAGAGGCTCCCCAACCAGAGGAGGGGTGTGGCTTGAGGAAGCCCCCTCCGCTAGAAGTGAAGGGGCGGGGCCTGAAAGAACTTTCCCGCCCCCTGGTGGATTAGGGGGGCGGGGCCTGAGGAAACTCCCCCACCAGAGAAGGGGTGGGGCCCGAGGGAGCTCCTCCACTACAAGTGAAGGGGCAGGGGCTGAGGTAGCTTCCGGCCAGAAAAGGGACGGGTCCACTGTCTTCCTGGGAGCCAGGTCTACTCAGATATTCACTTGCCCCCTTGGGCATGGACTCCGTTCAGTTTCTATTTCCAGCACTGACCTCTTTTCAGAGCTCCAGACCTGACAGGTCTCGGCCTGGACAATCATGTGCCAGGCACTGTGCAAAGTGTGCCTTTTTTCTTTGCTTTGCTTTTTTTGGTGAGGGGATTGGGTTAAGTGACTCGCCCGGGGTCCCACAGCTAGTAAAGTGTCATGTGTCTGAGGGCACATTTGAACTCAGGTCCTCCTGCCTCCAAGGCCGGCGCTTACCCACTGCGCCACCTAGCTGCCCACAAGTGTGCCTTTTTTCAAAACCAAGCCTACCTGTCCCTTCCTTCCATTCAGGCTTGAGAGCCCGGCTTTTTCCCTTGGACTCTTTCCTGGTATCATATCCCAGTGTTACCAGGTCCCATGCCTTGGACCTTCACAATCTTTCACATCTGTCCAACGGTCACCATTCTAGTACAGAGGCCCTTATTGCCAGCTAATTTTGTACCAGGGGCAAAAATGTAAAATTGCGCCATCTGAGTACATGCATATTTTATCTATTTTTCTGCCTCACCTTTGGCCTGAGGCTTGCTTTCCCCTTGTCACAGATCTCATTCCTACTTACCGGCACTATTGTGACAGTCTCCTAACAGGTCTTTCCTCTCCAACTCCATCACTCACTGTCAGAAACATTCTGTGCAGAGATCTAGTCATTGCCATTCCTCTGCTCAAAAATCTTCAGAGGTATCTTTGCCAAGACTGGAGTTCAAATTCTTTTTGCTTGGCATTTGAGGCCTTATATCATCTTTTTTTTCTTTTTTGGCTAGGCAATGGGGCTAAATGACTTGCCCAGGGTCACATGGCTAGTAAGTGTTGTGTGTCTAAGGCCAGATTTGAACCCTGGTCCTCCTGAATCCAGGGCCGGTGCTCTATCCACTAAGCCACCTAACTGCCCCTGCCTTATATCATCTTGAGGTGTTTTACTAATCCAGGCTTGTTCCATGCCCTTCCACCCACCCAGATTGTACTGTTATCAGCTGCTTCCCATCTTCACCACCAAAAGCAACCCCTGTTCAGTTTCCTAGCTTGCTTTTGTTCACACTGATGATCTCTATGCCTGGAATGCCCCCCCCTCCCCAGCCCCACACACTTTTTCTTCTTTGCCTACTGAATTCCTAACCCTTCTTCCTTGAAGGCCCAAACTCATATGCTTTCTCCTCCATTTAGTCTTTCCTGATTTTCCTCTAGTATTTGGTAATAACCTTCCCTCAACCTGTATGTACAAGGCACTTTTTCACCTAATGGATTTTTCACGTAATATTATGTTTTTTAGTTCTCTGTATTTGCCCTACTAGAATCTGAGCTCCTTCAAGGGACTCACCCTTGCCTCCTAAAGGGAGCAAGCAGAGGACCCAGGTTAAAAGTCGCAGTTCATCTATTTAATACCAGTGTGACCTTGGGAAAGTCCCTTACCTCTCTGGGCCTGCTTCCTCATCTGTAACATGAAGGGGCTGGATAATCTTTAAGGTTGTGTAGCTCTGATTGTCTCTCCAAAGGATAATTTTGTAGTCTGAACATGAGGAGATTTAGATTCTGGGGATCCTGGGGACCATGGTTTCCTATTATGGCCCTAGGATACTGCTTCTCCCTCATCTCACCTTACAAGCTGAGCCCTCATCAGTCTCCTTACTAAGCTTTCCCTTTTGTCTGTCTCTTTAGGATGTGTGTGTGTGTGTGTGTGTGTGTGTCTTTAGGATGCGCACGTGCGAGCGCACACGACCACCTTCCTGTGTGTCCAGAAGCAAGAGAGTGGCGTCTCTCTGATCACACCAAGGTTCTCTGAGGAGTCTCTTCAAATACCTGAGGCCTGAACAGGGGAGAAGGTGAGGCCTCTGATGGCCCACTTGGTGGAACAGCTACAGCTGCCCAGATGAGCCTGGGGACACAGAGTGGCAGAGGGACGCAGGAGCTGCTGGGGGCTGACTCTCCCTACCCTTTCTCCAGGCTTCTTGCTGTCTTCTCCACATGCCAGGGCTCTTGGCCCTGCTCAAACCCATAGGAACAGTCAAAAAGGCATTTTAATTAGCGGCGACAGTTTATTGGTTCTTAGTGTCAAGTCTGAATTACAAATGTGAAAGTCACAGACACAAACCGCAGTTACAAATATGTCAAATAATATAAAAATAAGTGGAGGCTAGTTTTATAGACCCACTGAATTGAGTGTAATAAATACAACAATAAGCCAGAAAGCTTCAACCACACCATTCAGTCTCACTGAAGTTACAGTAGTGTTTGTAAAAACAAATTTTTAACTTAAGTTGCAAATAGTAAAGCATCAAAAGCTAGTATAAAAGTGGCTTTTGGCACATTGTCCACGGGCTCGAGGGTCACATTTGACAATTTTGGACAATTATGAAGGAGTACGTGTCCAACCCAGGTTGATGGACACATCTTTACAAATCTGTCGACAATTAACCCCACGAGACAGCTGGACACTCACAGTTTACAAGCTTCTATCCTCGTTACAACTTTGCCCATTATAGAAGCCCAAAGGGCACCCCAGAGGTTACCACTGTGCAAATTCTCCAAAATCCCAAAAGAACTTGGAGAGAAATTTTCCTTGGCCATCCCCCAGGGTCAGGGTCTTGCCTATGGGGCTTCACAGCTGCAGCCCAGATCCTGGCTCAGGGCACTACAAAAAGCCCCTTGATAAGGTGAATGAATTCCCCACCCCTTACCCCCACCCCAAACCAAACCAACTATAACTTCAGAAATTCTAAATCCCATTCACTCCAGGTGATACAAAACCTAAGCTGCTAACAAGGTCAGCAAAAAGCAGGTAAACCCCTTGAGGACTCGTGCCTGCACTCTGGGACCTGGAGCTCCAAATGCATGGATTCACTTCCTGTCCCTCCATTTTTTTTCCCTACAGTAAAAAGATAAGACACAGTGTAATGGCACTTCTTTTTGGGCCACTGGCTGCTCTGAGGGACGGCACTTTCCCAGGATGTACAGTAGCTGAAGGTCCTCCTTCCTGGGGTAACTCATGCTACTATATGTCTCAGAGCAGGCTATGGCAGAACCACTAATCCAAGCCAAAAAAGGTGGCTGACTTTTAGGAACCTCATAAAGAGTTCATCTAGCAGAGGCCAGCCCAGGTCCAATCAGGCCTGGCATAGGTGCCAAGCTCCAGGATCACCATTCACAGGTGTTAGTCCTCAAAGAGTTTATACAGTTTAGCCAGAGGTGCTAAGACTCTTCAACTAGGTTAACATGGCGTGTGTTACACTTTAAAGTCCTTTCACCAACATTGTTTTGTTCTTTTCGATTCAAAAATGAGGGGAAAGAGAGCGAACAGTCTGGGGGTGGAGAGCTTTGCCCTTTGGCCGCCCAGCTCCAAGCGGACACCCCTCATCACAGCTTTGCCATTTGGGCTTCATAACATCTAAAAATGAACATTTTCAAAATCACAGTTTTATATTCAGAGCTGAGGTAATCACGTAGTCTTTGATCCCAACAGAGGAAATTGGAACAGTACCACAGGTTGGTGAAAAGACTTTTTCCATGGGTATTATACAGTCAGTCACCAAGAACACTGCGCAGTGAGCTATACAGCAGGGTCTATGCTATGCATGGCAAGGCCAAGAAGCTGACGCTCTCTTTAAAAATGGATTCTTTGTGCAGCAGGATTCTCAGACCCCAAAGCTGTTGGGGATTCCCCCAACCTCCAAGAGAGTTTCATGTAAAACTTCATAGCAATAGTTGAATGAATTGGCCCACTGGTGTCCCCCCCCCACCCCAAATGCTGCACAATTTCGAGTTTTTAAAAAGAGTTCAGCAGAACAAAAAGAAGCTACAGTATCTTCATCTATTGTTTAATCAATTGCACTTAAAAGTCTATACAGTTATTGATCCCCAAGCAGAGACAACGAGCTAGTCCAGGGCCTATTGTCACTGCTTTTCTGCACCAGGCATGTAAGCTGCCCAGGCAACAAAGGATCCATATGGCTTTGGCATCACCTCAGTCCCTTCTCATGGCAGGCATGGGAAGGGGCCAGCCAAATGGTGTCTTGGAGAGGACATGCTCACTTGGGCATTTCTTTTTTCAGATGCCTTTTTCAATGTGAGGTTTCTTGCTCAACAGAATCTGGGTTCTTGTCACCTCAGTTTAAAACAGAGATCATTATCTTCTCCAACACAACACCTGTGACTGGCTTCCAAACCTGGGCAAGCCCCTGAAAACAGTTTTGCTACACTAACCTTGGCAGGCACTAAGTACAGCGAAGACCCACATGCAGTCATGCATGGAGAATTCATGGGACCCCTCAGGAGCTTTCTACTTGAGGCAAGACTTGTCTCCCTCTTACAAATCTCCCCCGAGAGTTAAAGCTCACTAATGGTGTCACCTATGTGCTTTGTAAAGAAATCACATGTTTTACCAAGTCCTAAGGCATGCACAGGACTACACTCTAAACTTGGGAGGCTCAACATGACAACACCAAAGTCCATAACAGAAACGAGGCCTAGAATTCGGAGCCCGCACTCGCCCCCATCTAGACTTCCCTAAGGGGCTGCCCTGGCAGACACACAATCCCAACTGGCCAAGTGTGCTCTGCATAATAATCAGTCACACTTGCTTTAATGTCCTACTGAAACCAAAGCTACTGGAAGGAAGCGTAGGACACCAAACACTTTGCTTGGGCAAAAGAAACAAAAAGTATTTTGAATATGTTTGCTGGAAGACAGTGGCATTTCCTCTCCCTTGGGAGCCAAAGCCAGAGGCAGCAAGAGGGCTTGGGGACTTGGAGTAAATTTTCCACAACTAAGTCTTATTGCGTCATATGTGTGCGGCCAGGACTGGGAGGAAGTCATACCACAGCAAAGGCCTGACCCTCCTCGGCCTTATCAGAGCTATCTAAAGCTCCGTGGAAGGAGAGCAAAGAGACAGAGGCAGAATCTATGTGGGGGGAAGTCCAGCAGGCACCTGGCAGGGTGACAAGAAGCCCAACTCAGCTCCAAACCCAGATAGTACTGGCTAGCCAAGGACACCAAGGAGTGGTCTACAGAACCCAGGAAACCCAGCAACGCCAGCTGCGGGAGACATCGGCCTCATTAGGCTTCTTCTAGCCTGGGAGGGAGAAAGGAAACCAGCCATTTTCCCTCATATCACAAGTAGCTGGCCAGAAATCTCTCAGTCTCGGTGAAGACTCTTGTCACCTCATGTGCTATCTCTTGCAGGGATCTAAGGGGCCTTGGCATTGACCACGGCTGGGGAGTGGGGGCGGGGGACACTGGACCTTTGGTTGGGCCCTACACAGGAGGCAAGAAAAGTCCTACCTTCTCTCCTTTTCACTCTTACCACCAGCTTCATAAAGACTCCACAAGATGAGGGAGAGAGGCCTGAAGTTCCATGCTTTCTCCAGACTCTAACTCAAGACTCAGGTAATGCCAGAAAAGTGAAAGGTGTGTAGGTAGCTCAGGAGAACTCTTCATGCAATCCTAATAGTCCCTTACCCTTGAAGAGCACTTCCACCCTCCCACAAGACGAGAAATGGCACAAGCCTCCTTCACAGGTTTTTTTTTTTTAGACCAAGACAGGATGACTAGACTGCAGACAGCACTTGGGGGACAACAATCCCGAGACTGCTTCATGGGGTGTCTCCAGTCCCTCATTCTCCTCTGCCCTTGCAAAAGGGAATAAGGGACCAGGTGATGATTCTGAGAAAGCACTGTATCTTGAATCAGGACCACATGCAAATGACACAGCACAAACAGGCAGACCAGAGTGAAGAAGCAGCTTCCTGCCAGGAAACATGTCCTCAGACACGTCCCAGAACGCCGAGGGGCAGACAACCCCTGAGTGTCTCTGACCATGTGAGAACAGGGACGATGTATGGAGGTGGCAGCCTCGTGGCTGGCACTTGTGCCCAGGTCTCTTGCCTGGGCACAGAGAACCTTGGTGGGCTAGCTCAGGGGCTTCTGCTCAAATAGGTCAGGATACTCCTGTTGCTCCAACTCTCGGTTGTACCTCTCAATTTCCCGGTTTGCTTCCTCCACATAATCATTCATAAACTGGTCCATTACTAATTTCAAATTAAGGAATATAATTCAGTCTGTTGGAATCTACCAGCTAAAAACTGCCCCTGACTCTGAATAATCGGTGGCCTGAAGGGATGAGCTCTGCTCTTCATTACTCCTTGCTCCCACGCTGACAGGAAGAAAGGACCAGCCCTTTGAGAACACAGCTGGTGTTTCATGTATGGAATGCGACAGGTCTTATGCTGGGGTAAGGGAGAAGAAATGTCCAGTGATTATAAGGAGGCTGGGATGACCCCCCTCATTCTCATCCATCCCCAACCCTAGAATGAGAAAGAGGCAGGAGAAGCAGACTGTAGCTAAGAAGCCCAGCAGCAAAGGAAAGGACTGACTTTTCCTTGGACAAACATCCACAGACAAAAGAAGTCAACCCTGCAGTCCAGAGTCATTTGCTGCAATACAAGCCAACTTGATTTGGGCCTGCATCATGAATCAGGGTATTGGTGAGCCTGTCCACACCTACCCTTCCCCGCTCCTCCTCCCCCCGCCTCATGAGGGAACATGCCACTAACTGGCTCCACACGTTGAGATGAAGGAGAAACAGCTTCCTCCTTGCCTCCTTTCCCAGCCTCAGCCTCACCCATGCTGTAGGCAGAGGCTGTCCCTGTGCCCCTCCTCTGAGACCTCCTGTCCTCCCTCTGCACAGTGACAATGGCAATGGGCCGGGCGGCTGGCCTGACATCAAGCTGCCCCCTCCCCTGGGTGCACACACATTAAAACCTTCTGCTCTGTGCTCGAAGGAGAATGAGAAGGGAAAGGGGGAGACAATTTCCTTCCTAGCCTAATTACTGCAGTGCTTTTCAAAGGTTAAGATGCACAGTTTGCCTCCACAGTTTCCACCACAGAACTTAAGACCTGAGCTCTGCTTTTTGCATATCCAGTGATTCTGGAGAGGCAGAGACGGGACTGCACAATGGCTGTGACTCAAACCTCCCACAGGAAAGCCTATCTAAGCCTACACCTGGTTTTCTCCATAGCCCTGCCATGCAAGGATACATGGGTGATAATCAGTCTTATCACCAAAGAAGTTGACAAATTGGGTTCCATTATAAAAATAACCTGCAGGCAGGGGGTCCAGGTGGCGTTTCACCTGCAAGAAACAACAGAGATCATTAAAAATGCCCTGCACCTGCTCAGGTCCCCCTTGGCCAGCTTCGGTTTCTGCCCACCCTTCCTTTCCTCCCAGGCCAGGAGCCCACCTCTCTCATCTCCTTTTCTCTCCCCTCACCCCAACCTCAAACACACAGGGGAAGGTCTCCCTGCACAATCTGAATACAGCCTCCCAAGGGAGTAGCCCCGTGGAGCCAGTGCCCCTTCCCCTCCTCCACTTTACCCCACGGCAGGGAATAGATTTCTGACCTTTGGAGCTGCAGCAGGAGCAGTAGGGGGCTGCCTGCCCCTCGGGCTTCTCTCCCTTGGGGCACAAGTGGGATCTGCTTTATATACCCCCCAAATGAGTAGCTGTTCTCACTACTTCACCCAAGATCAAAGCAAAATCAGCTCCCAGTAGGGGCTGAAATCTTACCCATTAATGGCTCCATCCATTGGTGGGCCATACCCTGAAGTGCCCATAGATCTTTAAGAGTTTCTAGGACTCTCACCCAGTTTCTGTACATTAGGCCTGGCCTAGCCTCTGGGCAGGGGACTTACGTGAATGTTCTTGATCTCTTGCAGCGTCAGCATCCCCCTGGTTTTCAGGGCTTTCCTCTGGGGTTTCTGTGTAGAAATTGAGGGATGGGGGAGGGAGCAGAGGTCAGATGGAGTAACACAAAGCAGGGGTAGAGTCAGCAAAGGGGCAGAGAAAGCCACGTGAGTGCTACCAGACTGGACAGTGGCAGTGGCGGTGCAAGGCTTTGGCCGGGCATGGTGGAAGGATGTTCTGCCTACTGCCTGAGACTGGACCCCTTTGCAGAGGGAGAGATCACACCCTCACTCAAGCGTAAAGATTTTGCTGTTTTGGTTTGAGGAAAGCTGATGTCTTGACTTGTACACAAGGCTTTTCTACTGTGACTGTACTTGTTTCTGTGGCCCATCCTTTGTCCATCCTAATGCCACTGGAAGAACCCAGGGGAGGCCAATTCATGGTCTGGGGGGGGAGGTGGTCTGAGAACTGTTTGCATACGAGATCTGGGGCTCACCCTGAAAAGCACTCCCTCTCAGAGAGTAAATTGAAAAGGCTGCCCCAGAGCACTGCAGGGGACTGGCCAGGGATCTGAAGTACTCTGTACCTCACCCAGCCTGTGTCAAACAGAGCTTCTTCCTCTGCCTTCGCCAGCATCACAGGAAAGGCACCTGGATGTTTTCTCCTCTTCTAATCCATCCCCCCCTCTTATAAAACACCAACATAGTTTAAATAGCTGACTGCCTATGCTGTCTTGGAGAAAAGGAACACAAGAGGGGAAAATCAGGGAGCGCTGGAATCTCACAAGTTTGCTCTTCCAAGAAGAGGTGATCCACTGATGCCCCGGGTGGGACCAGTGGAAAGTTACCCTAAGGGTGACCAGACTGTCAGGGAAGACTGCTGGTTAGGGGCTGCCTGGAACTGTGCCCACATCTGGGACCAGTGCCAGCAGGAATGTCCCCACCTCACGAGAGCCACACCTGCTTTGCAGTTTGTCGTAGCCAGTCTTTGACGCTCTCCTCTTTCAGAGAGCAGCCGATGAATACGAGGTAGCTCTCCTGCTGACCACTGCCATCTCGGGGAGCTCCACGGGAATCTGGAGGTGGGCTAGGACCCGTCAGAACTGGCACAATGCTTAAGGAATTAGTTAGTGTGTTGTGACAAACTTCCATCATCTTTTCTGAGTCTGCAAGGAGAGAAGAAAATTAGTGCTCTGAGGGACTGGCCAAGTAAGGACCAATGATATAATCTCTCCCAGGCTAGAGGAAGATTCCTTTGAAAGGGGTGTTACATTCCTACACCAGATCAGGCAGTTAGATCTTCTCCATGGCTATCGTCAGTCTACTGCTACACCTAAGTATTTTAAATGCCAGGTACTTTCTTCTCTCCCCTAGGGCCCTGTGAGTCTGCAGTGGCAGACTGCAGCAAAGAGAAACTTCCCCATGGGAATAAAAGTCTTTGTTATGATTCAGCCTATAGCCTGCTGTGTATGTGGCTCTGGGGCTTTCTCCTCCTCCCTGGGTTCTACAGGCAAGTTAGCTGAGTTACTTCTACTCAGCTAGAGCATCTTTTTATCTCCAGCAACCAACAGAATGGGGCCATGCTCTAACAGGGTCCTTTTCCCTTGTATACTCCTCTCACCCTTTATACTACTATTCTTGAAATAAGGAAATCTGGGGCAAAAATCAAGTAGATTCAAAAAGGTTGGCAGAAACAAGTCAAGTCCTGCCAACAGGCTCAGTCTGATCTCCAGTGATGAAAAGAATGGGCAATCTCATTCATTCACCTCACAATTGAAATGGGTGGAGCAATAATTGCTGGGGAAGAAAATACAGGCAAGTAAATGCACCCAACACCCTTTCAGTCTGAGTTCTAGCTCTGAAAGAATGTGATTAGCTGTAGAGTTAAGGAGAAGGCATCCAGTGAGAGGTCCCTAAGAGACTCACAGCAGAGGGTTCCCACGCTTCAGCCTTCCTTTACCTGAAAACTTCACTTTGCCCAGGATGTGGTAGATGTTTCCAGAGAAGGGACTCTGCTTGATCAAGGACTTGACTGCTGTTGGGAAGAAGAAGAAGAAAAGGCTGTCACCGCCCCACTTGTTGGCTTCCTCGTGGACGGCGCCAGAACTCAGCACAGTCACTACTGGAAAGGGCCACTGACTGCGTGGATGCCTACGTGTGATGAAGCTCATTCTCTTACCATCAGTGACATGTTCTGATTACTGTCTGTGAAATGTGTGACATATTGTCAGAGATTCTGTAGGAAGCTTTGGTACTTTCCTGGTTAACAAAAAAAAAATGATCCGCATGTGCAGAGGGTAGGGGGTGAAGTTAGCAGCTGAACTGGCACAAGTGTGGAAGGTTCACTGTGCTCCCCAGTTGCCAGCATTCCCAGCATTGCAAATGGCTCACAACCAATGGGCAGAGAGACTGGAACCTGATGGGGTGAGAACTGGAGGAGCAGTTTGGAAACTGAAGAGGAGCTGGGTTTGACGGTTGGCAGCATGTTAGATGGAGCAATGGATACAGCTGGGCCTGGAGTCAAGAAGACTCACCTTTCTGAGTTCAAATGTGGCCTCAAACACTTACTAGCTAAGTGACCCTGGCTAAGTCACTTGAACCTGTTTGCCTCAGTTTCCTCATCTGTAAAATGAGCTGGAGAATGAAATAGCAAACCACTCCAAGATCTTTGCCAAGACCACCCCAAATGAGGTCACAAAGAGTCCTCTGTGACTGAACAATGACTAAACAAAACAAAGGGTCACTCTAATCAGTAGCAGCGCAGAGGTGCAAAGGCCAGGCCCAGATATTTTGTAGAGGGAAAGGGGAGATTAGTTACTTCTACACACCAAATTATCTCAATCTCATTTGCACACGCTTGTTTACAATCATCTCCCCCACTGGACTGTGAACTCCTGGATGGCGGGGACTCTTTTTGTCTTTCTTGGTGTTCCTAGCACTTAGACCAGAACCTGGCTCATAGTAAGTGTTTAATAAATGCTTGCTGACTTGATGAGTCAGCCCTGGAAGCTGTGCTAAGAGATCTTAGGATTTCCCTTGACTCAATGCTAAGCTGTCATTTTTTCTCAGCTCCTTGTTTTAAAAAAAATTGCATCTGATTTTCATCTGGGTCACATTCACTAACAGGGGTGCCCTCAGGGCTCCATCCTGGGCCTCTCTTTTCCCTCCGGACTACTTCAGCTGGTGATCTCATCTACTTCCACGCATCAATTATTTCAAAGCAGATTATTCTCAGATGGATTTGTTGGCCCCAACCTCTCTGCTGACCTCAGGCCTCAAAGCTCCCGCTGCCTCCTGGACACCTTGAACTGAACGCCCCACAGACATCTTAGACTCGATATAGCCAACCCTGACCTTGTTATCATTCTTCCCTCCTCCTCCTAGCTCCCCTATAACTGTCGAGGGTACTACCATGCTCCCCGGTCTCCAGGTTCAAGCCTTGGCATCAGCTTTATCTCCTCCATCTCTTTCTCTCTCTCACTGCCCTGCCCCACCACCACATAGCCAGCTGTCTGGTCCCCGTCATTTCTACCTCTCCTATGTGGCTCTTTCTCTCCTCTGACCTTCTCCCCACTTCTGTGCAGGCCCTCAGCACCTCACACCTGGGAGCCCTACACTAGCCTGCAGGTGGGTCTTCCTGCCCTGTCTCTCCCTGCTGCAGTCTGTCCTCCGCTCAGCTGCCAAACTGCTCTTTCTCAGACACAGGTCTGACTAGGCCACCCCTCCCCTTCTTTCATCATCTCCAGAAGCAGATATAAAGTCTTTCACAGCCCAGTCTCTCTGTACCTTCCCAGGCTCCTCCACACATTCTATGCCTCAGTGACACTGGCCTCCTTACCTCCTGACTCTGCATGCGGACTGCTCCCCAGGCCTCAACTCTCTCCTTCATTTCCACTTTCTGGCTTCCTTCACGGATGAATCCCCACCTTCTGCAAGCTTTTCCTGGTATTCCTTAACCTTGGTGCCTTTCCTTTGACATGATCCCCAATTTACCCTGTCTTTATCTTGTTTGTATATAGTTGTTTGCATGTTGTCTCCCTTATTAGACTGTGAGCATCTTGTGGGCAGGGATTGGTGGTTTTTTTGGGGAATTACGTTGTATCCCTAGCACTTTGCACAATGCCTAGCACATAGGAGATGTTATTTGCTTGCTGACTGACTGACTGACAAAATTAACTAAGGGGAAAATGGAGCTTGTCCCATGAATAGGCCAGGAGATCTAAGCAGATCAAGACCCTAAGAGCCCAGACAAAGAGGGAGGTAGGGGGCAGCTAGATGGCGCAGTGGATAGAGCACCAGCCCTGGAGTCAGGAGGACCTGAGTTCAAATCCGGTCTCAGACACACTTACTAGCTGTGTGACCCTGGGCAAGTCACATAACCCCCTTGCCTAGCCAAGAGAAAAAAAAAGAGGGAGGTAGGTCCATTGGCCCAGCAATAATCATCCTACCTTTATTAAAGAGAGGCTGAAAAAAATCTCCAGGCTTGGCTGCCCACTTTACCTCTCCTAAAAGACTGGTGCTGCTTATCTAGGCTCCTTCTTAATGGGTCTTCTCTCTGCACCAGTTCCCAGGGGGTAATGAAACTCTCCTGAGGGGAGTTCAGACCAATTTGCGTGACAAGTCTAAGATCTTAGGCAATACTGACCTCAACCAGAGAAAGGTCAGTTGGTCTTAGGCTGGCCTCAAAAACCCAGCCTCTCAGGCTGCAAAGGAAACGTTAATTTCCTTTCCCTGTCGTTCACAGGCATACATCAGGGAGTCTTACCTTTGCATTTGGCCACAAAGCGAGCCTTCTCCAAGGGGCGGCCAAACCAGACACAGATCTGAACCATTGGTGGGAAGACTGACCCTGCACGAAATTTACCTTCATACCTTCAAACAAATACAAATTTGAAAACATGATTAGTTTTTTGAATATGAATATCGTGCTTGATTTTCATTTCTGTATATGCTGTTACAAATATTTATATGCCTCTTTCATGTATTCTTCAGACTGGGAGGCTGGAGGACAGGGTATTTGGGTTCCCCATTTCAGGTCTGGCTCCCTGATCCTAAGGCTGAGTATTTCCCTTCCCTGGCTCTGCCTAGCAGCTAATTCAGAGTTCTGTCCTGGCTCAGCAGCTGTAGCAGCTCTAGACTGTGTGCTTACAATGGACCACAATGGATTTCCCAAAGTTCAAGGGAAGTGATTTCCCTTCCCTTCACTTTAGGGAACAGACTAGATCCTGGGAATTGTGAGATCTTGGTGCTACCCCTATCCTCTCTCTCCCGGAGGGTACTACTTGGGATTCTGCCTGGAGGAAGGGGAAAAGGTCATACTGCCAGCTCCCATTTCCTATGGAGCTCAAAAGTTTACAAAGCACCTTCCCACTGTAAACTGTAAAAGGCAGGTAGGTCAGTATTAGTATTTCCATTTTACCGATGAGGAAACTCAGGTGACCTTTCTATCATGAGTCTACGGAAGGGCCCTGATATTCTAAGGAGAATGAGTCATTTTCTGGACTGCAGAAAGAAGCAGATATGGGCTTAGGGTTACAATAAGGGGAAAAACTCCAAACATTCCAACTGGTTTCCCAATACCTGGTGGTCTTTGCAAACTCTCCTCCTTATAACTGCTAATAGGAAAACCCCTCAAGCAAAAAAGGAAGCCAAAGGGGTTGTCATAAGAGGGGAGTGAGTGGGGGGAGGGGAAGATTACCACCTGCCTTAATTAGTATGGATCTTATTTATTCTTGAGAAGCTCAAAACAAGATATAACAAGGAAAGAGTCCCTTCAGTCTGTTCCAGGAACCAAACTGATCTCTCTTTATAAAGGAAGTAGGCACAGGCCAATACTAACAGCCAGGAGACGGACAGTCTCCCTCAGAGGCCTTTGTGTACCTGTAACATGAGGCTCTTCAATCACCATCACTGTTGGGGAATCCAATAGTAAGCACCCTTCCTTCCTCCCAAGTGCTAGCTTTCCAAGGGAAATCCATGGACTCCTACTAGCCAAGAAGGCCAGTGACACCAGCTCTTCCAGGAGCCCAGTAGTAAAGATCCTTCCCCAGCCTGTGCTCATTGTGAGATGGACTAGATCTCTAAAAGGGCAACTTCCTGTCAAAAGAGGTCTAGGAAAAAGACCTCAGACTGACAGAGGAAAAGGGGAATCTGGTTCCTTTAGTTTGCTCTCTCTCCAGTAAAACTTTTCACGATCTCTGGCTAGGCCAGTTTTAGATGGGGTGTGAGGCGTGACTTTTGGCAGGTCAATTCCTGTGTCAACCAGTGCAGGATCTCCCCACAGGTATGGCAAGGCAGGAGGGAAGACAGTGTTGTCTTGGGCCCAGGACCAATTGTTTCCTGGAGCTGAGGAAATCAAGATACTCCTCAGAAAGTGGGAAGATGTGAAGCACTCTGCCCCCAGATTTGTTATATGAGAGGTAGTAGTGGGGACCATCTGATGCTGGGGCTTCTCTGCTAAACACAGAACATCTGCTAAATCCCCACTTTCTTCACTGAAGGTAGAGGAGAAATGTTCTTTCTTGTTTTTTTTTTCCTACACCCAATTCTGACCCAAAAGGAAGAACTGACTTGGGATGTAAAGGTTAACAGGAACCTCGGGAGAAATAATCTCAGATTTTGGGACCATCAAAGAAAAGAATGCTGGGGATAGTCGGATGTGAAGGACTGGTCATAATCCAACTTCAGGAGAGCACAGTTCAAAAAGGTTGGATAAATGATAGGCAGAAATGACATTATTCACTTTGAACTGTCTAATATCCACCACATAATTCCTCAACTCTAAAACCTAGCCAACTTGAGCCACACAATAATGCCATGATTAAACCTTAGCCCATATCATTTCACAGACCTGCATAATCACCAACATCCTAAACTTTGACATTTCACTGTCCAATCACAACCTCCTATTCTCCCATCTCTCTTCTTCTTCAGTAACATTAAACCTGCCCATCATCCTCATCATGACTTCTTGTCCCATGATCCCTTCACTTGTCTCCATGCTCAGCTAGGACTTTCATGATTCACTTCTCTAGAATCCTTCCTTTTTTCTTCCCTCTCTTCACCCACAATCATTCCCAACCTCCTAATCCTTAGCCCTGGACATCCGTTAGGTTTCTTTTCTCCTGTTTCCAGGCTGCTCAATATCCCTGGAGAAAGAAATGGAAATGAGCCATTCATGAGGGCCTAAGTACAGCCCTAGCAGGGCCCTCATTGTTGCTCTGGAACTCTACTACTTCTACTGTTATTGCTCAGATGACAGGTTTAAACTTTTTCTCCCTCCTTCCCACAGCACCTGGCCCATAGTAGGCCCTTAATTGCTTGCTGATTTGCACTCCCTGTGATGATTTAGCTTCCTATTTCACGAAGAAGATTAAGGTCATCTGACAACAGTCCCCTCAATTCCTTGCAGCAGTGCTTTACAGCAGTAAAACACCCTTTTCCTCCTTCTCATCTGTTTCAGAAGAAAACATTTCTACTTTTAGCTAATGCTAATGCTGCTCTGATTCTATCTCCTCTCCCCTCTGGAAGACCCAGTTCCAGCAATCATCCTCTCTTTGTCAGGCCCTGGTGAGTCTCACTCTCCCTTCCTCCCCAGATCTAATCAGTTGCAAAGCCTTATCAATAATTTCTCTACAACATCTTTCAATCCGTTCTCTTCTCTCTACTTTCACAGCCATCGCCCTAGCCCAAGCCTTGAAATGGAACTAAAAATTACAGCTGTTTAACAATCAAGTGACTTGCCTCAGAAAATACCCAATTGTTAGTCTTAAATCAGAGCACACTTTTGGGGGAGAATCCTGTTCTGGGTGGAAGGTTGAACTAGGTGACCTAGGAGGTTCCTTCCAACTATGATTCAGATTCTAGGCCAAATTCTATTGAACTAATCTCATTAAGTGCCAATTGTTTACAGAGAACTTTGTTAGGTGCTGAAAGGAGATGTAAAATTTAAATTGGATACAGTCCCTATCCTCATTGAGCTTAATAAATAGTTCAGGATAGCGATAAGAGAGATGAGAACACTTGTTCACTACTTCAAGGATGTGTGATTTGATATCTGGTCCCTTTCTACCAATGCAGTGCCTTGCACACAGCAGGTACTTAAAAAATATTCATTGAACTGGACTGTGTGCCTTAGCAAATAGGCTGTTGTGGCTGAAAAAAAGTCCCTCACTTGGTGAGCTCTTGGGAGCAAAAGTCTTTATTCTCAGTTAGGCTGGCCCTTAGTAAGTACCCATCTGTTGCTTAGTGATCCTTGGTGATCCCATATATTCTCTTTGCTTCCTGAAACTCTGAGAAGGGAAGGGACTAGGAGTATCTGGAGGGAGGATGCTAAGTTCTCTTGTGCTTTAGGGGCACAGAGGTATTAGAGGGAAGTTCTTTGACCTCATGCCTCAGTCTCACTCTTTTAAGCTTCAGCCTAGATAAAACTTCAATTGAGAAGAAAGTTTAGGCGTACTAAAATCTCCTTTCCCAGAGTGCAGAGGAGAGTTAACAGAAATGTCAACATGAACAGGATGGAGCACAAGCCCTGAAATCCACCTGGTCAGTATCTGGGAGAGAAAAAAAGCCTGTGACAGGGAAATAATGGCACCCAGACAATTCCATGTCAGATCAATTCTCCAAAACCAGATTTCCATAGCACAAAAAAGCTAGCTTTCCTCCAGAAGAACCAATCTGCCTTAAGGGGACAGTGTCTGGTGTCTGGCGGTCCTCTGACCACCACCTCAACTCTCACCTCAGCATCCAATAACTGTGACAGAGCTGGTAAGCAAGGAAGACTGTCCCCCAAGCCACTCCTTTCTTACACAAACACACAGAAATTACAGTGCATAGGAAGAGCCAAAGGGAAAATTCAAACATCAAATGGGTCTCCAGGGAAGTCTAAAGAGACAGAGAGGAAATGCCAACCCAACAGTCTGTGGATGACCCAGTCTGACCCACAAGACCAAGAGACCAAGCAAAAGTCTGCCTGTGCAGGATCTCCAAGACCAAGTTCCTGACTTGGGGTAACGGACGTGGGTCTTGGTGTTAAAAGGCCCCTTAATTCCAGGATGGATGAGGTTTTCCTTTGTGGAATAAAAGCAAGACAAAACGTACAGAGAGCCCAGTTCCATCTATAAAACAGATGGCATTCTTTCTCTTGCTCTGCTACCGTGAACATCTCTTATCTCAGTGAGAGATCAGACTACTTCCGACATAGCCCCAGGCTGTTGGCTCCAGGAGACCGATGTCTCAAATATTCAGCATAGAGACATAGATCTGTCTACAACATTTGTGGCCAAGAACAAGTCAGGGTGAAGCACAAGGAACTTTGCTTTGCTTCCAACAAATCCCTCTTTAACTAACTGGACTTTCATGTCTTGTTTCCCCTTTGACCTCCACTTCTTCCACCCAATAAGGAGTAAAATCAGGCTCCTGGGCAGCCTCGGAGGGCAACATCAAATGAGAACTGAGTGGAGGTTAGCCCTGGTCACTAGCGTGCATTGAGAACTTCTCTAAGTATGTGTGTGTGTGTGTGTATATATATATATATATATATATATATATATATATATATGTATATATAAACTTTGGGACACTTAAAAAAGTGGCATTTTGGGGCCTGCAAAGGCAGTTTACTCTACTCCAGGCACATCTGAGGGCTGAGGTAAGTTTGTTCATTCAGGCAACAAATATTTATTAAGCCCCTTCCTAGGTTCAAGGCTGTGCTATAGGCTGAAGGGATGTTGTTAAAAAGACTCCAAATTACACTGAAAAAAACTCATTTCAAAGCATTTCAGCCGGCATAAGTCACGTTGTTTGCGCAACTTACTGCACATGGCAACAAGGCCTTTGAATGATTTTGTTCAAGCTTTGCCTGTCTTGACCACTAGACTTAAGCTATCCCCACAATCAACACGGAGATTAAACCTAGAGAGTCACACCCCAAGTTCTGTTTCAGTGCCCGGTTCCCTGATCCAAAGAGTCCCAGTCATCCAAAGAAACGGTTCAATATAACATCAACCATTCAAGAGACAGGAAAGTGGAGAGGTCTTGTGTTTGGACAGATGTCTTAGAAAGGCTTGGGTCAGAAACAGGCTGATTACAAATTCTGACAGTACCACTGAGAGCCCAGGGATCTCTCAGTGACACTACTCGTTTGGGCCTTCTTTTGAAGCATTATCTCCTCAAAAGAAAGCTTGCTTTGCTTTCTTTTTTATCCTCCCTGATAAAAGGGCCACCAGGCAGAAGAGAAAAGTAGTAAGTCTGCATATGAACCGGCAGCTGTTGTGGGAGTCAGAAAAACTGCCTGAGAAACAGAAAAGAAGGCACACCAGAAAACTGAGTGGTTTCCCATGATTTTTCACCTGGGCTGATCACAGTTTTGAGATGGTGATGCCCTGGCTCTGTTGCCATCCTACCCAAGCTGGCCAGGAGTCAGAGGAAGTAAATGCAATGCTAGGATAATGGGCAGCTTCCCCCAACTAGGCACAAAGTCCATCAGGACTCCAACTGTGACAGAAAACTCTGATGCCAGGGTCTCAAACGGTCAATGAAAAGGACTGTCCACAAGGCTTGGCCAACTTGGGTACTTCTTGTGCTTTCCTCCCTTCCCCCCACCTCCCCCATTTCTTTTGTCAATAAAGACTGTCTGTATTTATCTTATTTCCTCAATTACAACACTTACCAGCCAGGGAACATTAAATATCGAGCTTGCAACATCTGAGGAGCCGAAAAACTGTCTTCTGAAAGAATCAACTCAATGTCTTCATTCCTGTAGAAAAAGATCAGAAAAGGCCCAAATTAACCAGAAGCATGAGTCCCAACATACAATTTAAAAAAAAACAATTTAGGATTATAGACTATAATTTTAGAGCTGAAAGGAACCTTAGAGACCTTGTAGTTTAAGTCCCTCTTTTTATTTTTTTTAAATAAGGGGAAATTGGGGCTTGGAGGGGAGAAAGGACATGCTTAATCTCATGTAGCTATATGTGAGAAAAATCAGTTCATCAAAATCACGTAAACAACATTAGGATATTGTTCAGTGCACCTGAACCTAGATCAGCACATTCTACTTCATTCAAATGTTTTTATATTAAAGAAAATCCTTCAAGTCAACAATCCATGAATTGCAACTGGAATCAAATCTATAAAACTCTGACGTTACTTTACTAATGGCCCCTCAAACTGAACCAGTGCTATTGCCCCGTCTTCCTCAAGCTGATATGGAGAAGCCCTTGCCTTACAGATGTCGCCCTGAAAAGTAACGGTGCCTCAGAACAGAAAAGTATTTGGACACATGTTATGTTCGTCTTTCTGCCTTGGCCTTCCCTCCAAACACGCTCGTTCCCTCTCTTTTCCCCTTAGCTACTGTCAATCCTCAGGGAATTATAGCTAGTTGATATTCCTTAAATGTGAATATCTGAAACACAGCTCAAAGGGCCTACGATTAAAAAGACAATACCAGAGGGGTAACCATGTACTTTAAGCAGCAGGTCACTCCTTTGGGCAGCCATAAGGCCCAGGCTGGCAGAGAGAGCCAGAGGCTCCTGAGGGTTGGGGACTAATGAGTAATCACCTGGTCACTATCCCATTTTCGGCAAGAATGAAAGCTGCAGCTGGATTTGCTGCTCGGATGAGACTTTGCAGCTGCACAAGGAGGGGATGTCTCTGCTCCATAGTGTGACTAGTAAATACGACATTGCTTACCAAGCCTGTGGAACAAAATCAGGAACATTTCAGGCTACAAAAAGACATCTGCAATAGCACATTTTCTGCTGCAAGAGAGAAATCCTAGAACCAGTTACAGTTGGAGAAATTAATCAGTTGAAGTTTGCACAAAATTTAGGATCTTGATTTTCTCACTTGTTTCCTCCCTCCCATATCTTTAGCATTCTACTGGTCCCTTCCCCTCTCTTTCCAAGCATGAACAGGTTTTCCCTACGCAAAAAAAAAAAATGTACTTCATCTGCTGCTGACATCTCAGGCTACCATCTTCTTATTTTTCCTTTCTTCCCAGACAAACTTCTAGAATACATGGTTTGCAGTGGCTCTCTGTTTCTTGCAATCTGACTTTCATCTTCCTCATTCTACTGAGACTGTTCTCTCAAAGATCATTCATGACGGTCTCATCACCAAATCCAATGGGACTTTTCTTTGTCCCTGGTGTCACTGACCTTTCTGCAGAATCTGACCCCCATAAAATGCCTCTCTCCTTCTTTTCTTTCCTCTCTCCTTTTTGAAACCCTCTTTTCCGTTAGCTACCTAGACACTAAGCTATTTTGATCTACATATTTTTCAGGCCATTCCTATTTTTGTCTCCTTCAATGGCTCCTATTTATTCCAGCTTTGTAAAATACATTGTTTCTGTCCTCAAGGAGTTTACAATATAGTATAGAAGATAACACATTTATGTGAAATCATAAATAAATGTGGCAAAATAAAATGCCACAAGAGCACAAGAGAGATAGAAGTTACGTGCTATGAGAGTTATAAGGAAGAAAAGATCATTTCTTACTCAATGGATAATCCAAGAAGACTTCAAAGATGAAACGGGATATAATCTGGGTCTTGAAAAATGGGCAGGATTTCAGTGGGGAGGGAGACGAGGGGCAGGTGTAAGTAAAGACATAATATTGGAAAAGCACATGAGATATGGCCTTGGGATAGTGAATTGTCTACCATTTGGTTGAAGTAAAGGGGAAAAAAAGGGTAGGAATAAAAGATAAGGGCTAGAAAGATAAAGTGGTGCCAGACTGAGGAGAGCCTTGAATTCGGGATAAGGACTTTGAACTTTTCTTAAGCAAAAGAGAGTCACTGAAGGGTCCTGAGCTGAAGAGAAATATGGCAAGATAAATGCAAAAGAAAGATCAATCTGGCAGGAGTGTGTGAAGGACAGATGGATTAGAAGGGATTTAAGAAGTTAGGCTCTAGTAAATGATAATGAGGTCCTATACCAAAGAGGTGGCAGTGGATGAATCCAAGGGGTGCTGCAAAGTTGAACTCAACCGGAATCTGGTACCTATTTCCCTCCAAATCACATTTAAAGTGAAGAAAGAAGTTGTGTTCTACGCCCTGGCCCTTTCCCATCCAACCTGCAAGAAAAAAGCCAAGCCAGGAGCACTGAAAGCCAAAAAGTCATGCTGAAGCCACCAAAGGAGAGGATCTGAATGTGCCTGCTATTCAGATCACCCAAGGCACCATGGCTCTGAAGACAGCCCAAAAACTTTCAGCAAAGCACCCCAAAGAAGAACAAGCTTGATCTTGTTGCAATCAACAAATTCTCCCTTGCCACTGAGTCAGCTATAAGGAAGACTGAAAATGGCTCCCCCATGGTATTAAGCAGGCTGTAAAGAAGCTATGTGACAATGATGTGGTCAGCACACTGCTCTGCCCTGATGAAGAGAAAGTCTATGCCCAACTGACCTCAAATAGGATTCTTTGGATATAGCCAACATCAGAAGACGGGACAGGTTTAGGGGAATAAATGAGTTTGGTTTTACAAATACTGAGTCTGATCTGACGGTGGGACAACTAGGGGAAAAGTCCTGTAGGCAGCTGGAGACAGCATGTGGAGCTCAGAAGAGGGATTTCATGATCTGAACTGACAGACTCAGGAAGGCCCAACAGGTCAATGATCTTGCTAGTCTTTCAGAGCGGACGCACTCCACCTCCCTCTCTTTCAGTGACCCTCAGACTCTACTAACATTCTTTTTCTAAAGCACATAAGGACAGGAAAGGGAGCCTTGGGCTCTCAGCTGGAACTAAAGCTAGGTCAGCAGGCCCCTGGAAGCAACTTCTACACAGTGATCTCCATCACATATTAACTAGCAAAGCACCTGAAAATAAAGGTAGCTGGCATTATTTCTTTCACCAACAGATCTCATGCTCACACAGCCTACACATATTTCCAGAACGCTTGAAGGTTTGAGAAGTGTTTTCCACGTACTATCTCATTTGATTCTCACAACAACTCTGGAAGGTAGGTGCTAGTATTATCCCCGTCTTACATAGGAGGAAACAGAGGGAGACCAAGGTAAAGTGACTTACTCAGGGTCACAAAGCTAGTAAGTGTCTGAGGCTGAATTTGAATCAGGTGCTCCTAACTCCCAATTCAGTGCTCTATCCACTATGCCAACTAGCTGCCTCACATCACCTGGGATTGAGTCACATAGCACCTGGCTTACCCAAATTTTCTCAGCATCACCCCTTAAGCCCCTAATATCCCCTCCTCTCTTCCTCTGCCCTATTCCTCCAGAACTCAGCATGGCTCTGTGTGTAGATTCCTGGATAGTCATAGGTATGGTCCACTTGATTTGAAGCCATTCACAACAGGGAGCTGTGGGACAGCAAAGGCCTTCTGCAATCCAATAAAGCTTCAATGGGTAGAGACAAAGACAGAACTGATGTACAAACTCAAAGACAACAGTTTAAGCAGGCTGTGGGCCAGAGCCCCTATGGCTTGCAGTGGCTACACTGCAGGCAGCAAAAAGGGGGCTCCTGAAAAGGAAGGGAGCCCACAGTGAGGTTACCAAGGCCAGAAGGGTAATGAGTTACAATGGGCTCAACACATTCCTGAGTAGGTGTGAAGACCCTAACATTGAGAGATAGGAAATCCCACAAGGGTAGAAGAACAGAACCAAAGAATCTCCAAGCTGAAAGTATTCTCTGAGTTAATGCAGCCTGCAGATGGTCCTCCAGGCTCTGTTTGGACACATCCTAGGACACTATGTCCAAGGCACCCTAGTCTACATTTGGATGGCTGTAATGTCGAGGTAAGTTTCCCTTAGCTGAGCCAGACGGCCTCTTTGCCGCTTCCACACAGTAGCCACTGTTCTGCCCTCCGGCGCCAAGCAGATCAAGTCTAGTGCTTCCACATCCTTGAAGATGGCTATTATGTCTTGTCCAACTCTTCTCTTTTCCAAGCTCGACCTCCCCACAAGTCCTCATACGCCATGGTTTCCAGTCTTGTTTCCATCTAGATCACCTTGCTCAGTCTGACAGTGTTCTTCCTAAAAAGTGGTCCATGAAACAGAATATGCTGTTCCAATATGGCCTGATTTGAGGAGATTACAGCAGAACAATAACCTCTCTGGCTTTGGAGTCGAGGCCTCTATTAATGCAATCTAGGGTGGTGCCAATGTCGCCCTGAAGACCATTGAAACCAACAGACCTTCTCATTAAGTGCTGTCTAGCCAGGCTCTCCTCTTATATTGAAGGAGTTGATTTTTTGGAACCCATTTGCAGGAATTTATTATAGTCATCCTTATGACATTTTATCCAATTCCATTCAGCCCACTGTTCCAGTCTACTGAAACCTTTCTAGATTCTAATTCTATTATTCAGTTTATTAGCCATTCCTTTCAGCTTCACACCATCTGGAAATCCAATAAGCTTTATTGCTATCTATGCCTGTATCCAAATCCCTGACTGAATTGTTGAAGAGAAAAGGGAGTGTTTGGGAGCTGAGTCTTCTCTGTTATTGTCTTGGACAAGGGAAACTGGAGAGAGTAAGAGCTGACTCAAGGTGCAAGCCTCACGCATCACTCTACTTGAAGAGAGGGTAGTGATTATTCCAGCCCCAACAAGGGAGAGGCAGGCAGTGTGTAAATGGGAGGATCTGGGGTGGGGCTGGGAAAGTAGGAAGAGATGAGGCAGACCAGCTCCACAGATTATTAGGAATTAGCTTTTTCACTAGCACAGTAGGTCCTTTCACAACTGATCTGAACACTCTGCTTTAAGTTCCTCCGATGGAGGGGGAGTCTTGATCCTAGCTGGGCCTGAGATCCAAACCTGGTTCCTGGCTGGTACAGAGTCTCCCAGGTCAAAGCCCCAGGCCTTGGCTCCCCAGACCTTCATCGCTGAACATGCAGGCTCAGGCGGATTACCCTGCAGCATTCCTCAGGTCAGCTATGCAAACAATGACTTGCCAAAGGGAAATAACTATGTTTGCTAAGCAGGTCAGGCTTCATAACTCAGGTGTTTAGAGAACAGAGCTATCAAGGTCAGGGTGGTGGGTTTCATCCCTATCCTGGCCAGCTACCCTCTCTCTCTGGTCCATGGTACAAATGACACTAAACCTTGACCAGCTGCCTCACCTGATAAGAGCACAGGGTGGCATACAGGCCAGGCCCATAACTGAAGCTCAAATCAAGCACATGTATCCCACTGTTAGTGGGCCATGGGGCCATCTTACTAGTCTATTGAGCAAAAAGGAAAAAGTACTGACTCTTTATGTCCAACTCTTTATTCCCTAAAAAAGAGGAAATGGGGGGGGCAGGTAGGTGGCGCAGTGGACAGAGCACTGGCCCTGGATTCAGGAGGACCTGAGTTCAAATCTGCCCTCAGACACATAACTTGTACTCCCTGTGTGACCCTGGGCAAGTCACTTAACCCCCGCTGCCCAACCAATTAAAAAAAAAAGAGGGAATGCTGAGAAAAGACTGGTGCTTCCTTGGTGTCCCTTTTAACCATGTTTGGCTTCCTTTTTGATCCTTGCTTGGAGTCTGTAATCCACATGCTCTTTGGGGAAAGGCTACTTACAGTGCATCCCATTTTTACTTTTAAAAGAATCAGTTAAAAAATTAAGATATCAATTAGCTCAATCACTGGAAAAGGAATAAGGGGATGAAATGCATTTTGTTTTGGGAGAGTGAAATAGCAGAGAAACGCTTCTGCACGAGGAAGATGCTACTCCTCTCAGGCCGGCTCCTAAGTTTCCTAAAAAAAATTGGTGCTCACTTCCCTTGGAAGGAGGGATCACTTTTTACCCCTTTCATTCCAGCACCACATAGATCAACAGTAGCTATCAATGGGGGGTTTTTGCTATCCACACAGTGGTTCACAGAGTATCACACAAATAATGTCACTGGGTTGTTTTGTTTTTTCTTAATTTGCAAGAAGTGAGAGGCATCCATCTCCTAAGGCTTTGGTACTTTCTTGGGGAATACTGCCTCTACCCTGTGCTCTCAGATTCCCTCATTTTGGAGAACAGCACACACAGCCTCCAGTGCTTTGCCTATGACAGGCCACATAACTGTGGTTTGACAGCTGCCATGCTAGGTGAGGAAGGCAAGGATCCTAGGGCAGACCTCCCAGTCACCAGAGGCCTTGCGGATGGGCTCAGATCGCCTATCTCAGCATCAAAGGTCAAGGTGAATTAGTCTGAAAAGGACTAGTCACGGCAGAGCCAGGCATAGTGCCTGCTGTGCACTGGAACGGACAACAAGGACCGGACACTTTCCCCAGGCTCTGTTGGAGGAGGCAGGCAGCTTGAATCACTTGCTCTTGTCACGTACATAAAAACAGGAAAAGAGGCCGGGATGGGGGGGGGGGAGAAGAGGATACAAGGCAGAAAGGGCCAAGAGGACAAGGGGTGCCAAGGTCACCCAGGGCTGTTTACATTGTTTGCAAGTGACTCTGGAGATGAAATGTAGCCAGAGTCATTAAAGGCAATAACAAAAAATGGTGGCGTGGAGCTGGGCTCATGCAACACAATTCAAAGTAGAACTTATTCCAACAAATTTAAGCTCTCACCAAACTGAAGATTAAACACTGGAATAAAGTCTGGGGTGAAATCCTGCTGATGTCCCCTCCCTCCCATTCCACTGTCCCATCTCTCCTTCCCCCAGTGGAGAAGGGCTCTCCTGGGGCTGACGCAGCATCACACGATTCAGAGGTGAGGGCGCCATGGAGAATGAGTCTTCTTGCACCTCAGGCAGCAGTCACAACAGAGCCCTCAGCCTCCTTCTCTTGGGCAGCAGTCGGCCCCTGTTGTTCCCAAGACAACGGGCTTCACGGGGTTCCCCGTAGGCCAGCCGGTACCAGGCTCAGCGGGGTGAGGCACAGTGCTGGGGACACAGGGGGAGGTTGCTTCCATTTGATCTCTGTTTACTGAGCTGACTCAGGAAGCCCAGGCACCACGCACATCTCTCAACAACAATGGGTAGTTCATCCCCAGTGTGGAGATTTAAAAACTGACTCCTGATCTCCCTCCGCCACAGGGAGTCCTATTTGTATTAGAAAAAAAAATACCACTTCCTGGGGTGCCTAGGATGGGCTTGGGGATGATAACCAGAGCTTGGCGCTGCCAGACCCAAGCCATGTGGACCCGGGGTTAGGGATCCACATTTCTTGTCGTCATTCTAACTAGACAGCCAGAGTTGTATTATGGCTGACTCAGTTTAGGCAAAAAGGCAAGATTTGAGTCAAGATATGCCCATAAAAGGAGATGAAAATATTCAGTGTCATTGCTCTCCTTTGATGAACTTTGATCATTCCTTAGATTTCTGGACAGAAAACCTATCTTCAGAAATTCTAGAGCACAGTTATCACATTTATATCATGTTTGGAAGACAAACTTTATTCTGTAGGCAGAAAGTCAAGCCTATTGCTTACCTTGTGAACACTGATCAAGAAATTTAGGAAAGAGAAATCTAGAAAGAAAAAAAAAAAAGAAGTGTTAATGCTTAGACTTCCAATGGAAGTTTAAACATTTTTCAAAAATCAGTTCATGATTCTATGATTCAGTGTTATGAATTAGAACTCTCCCCAAAGACCTGAACAACACTAATAGAAAAGAATATCATTTAACCGCTGGCACTCAACCAATGAACCACACCCAAAAATAGAGGCTACATGTAGTCTGGAAGAAAGCTACAGCTTTTCTTAGCTAACTGCCCAAGACCCAGGGAGCTACGGATAGTAAGGGGAATGAAAATAAGGTGCCATCCATCCTAACCAAGGAATAATACTGTGGATCCCAGAGGAGCAAGACCAGCAGTGATGCGCACTCTCTGTCCTCCTAGAAACCTCATGACTACGGTCTCAGGCCTTCCAAATGACTAACTTGTAAGAGGTAATTGTAGTGGGAACATTTGGGAACAAGGTCCACTGCACACTGTACACACTGCTGAGAGAGTTCATTCCAGTGGGAACTTCAAAAGGAAATGAGAATAGTCATTTGCCTCTCTCTGCCAATGACAAGCTATTCCCAGTTTCCAGTTCCATTCTTCCTTTCATACTCACAACAGGTGTGCTTTTTGCAAGAACCTGGGCTTTCCTTTAACACTATCCTGAAAAACTACAAAAGCCAAACAGGGAAGACATCTTGGGGCTAGCCTTCCTTTCTCAAACTTCTCACTGCATTTTGCCTGAATCTCTCCTTAGTACTGCACAGAATCCAAATTTCACAGTCAAAAGGGCCTTCAGGAAAGAAATCCCTTCCATGATGCCCACACTGATCTCATCTCCACTGTATACAGTAATTTGTATGCATGGCTTTCCCTTGTGTTAAACTGTAGCCCCTTTGAGAGCAGGGCTCTGTTTTTAATCCCCAGGGGCTTACAAATGTTTGTTGATTGACTAGTACAAGAGGTAAACAGGGGGAGCCTCTCCCAGGCAAAGTGGCTCACATAGCATTTGTTGAGGAAGAGGTGAAGTAACACCCTATACAGAGGTAGTGTTGGGCTAGAGTGTCACCTGGGTCGGAGACCAACCTCCAAAGACAGGATAGGAGCTCGGGGTCTCTAGGCCCTGTCTGTACCCAGCAGACATAGCAGAAGGAGTTCCTTCATTGTGAAACAAGCAAATTAGTCTCCCAGACCCAAGGGAAGAAAGTTCTGAGCCAGATACTTGTAGAAAGCACCAAAGCTGGTATTTTCTACGTGCATCAGGGATAGACCTTAGGGCAAAATGTTCCCTCCAGTTGTTACAGTTGGAGCCAGTGGGCCATGTTTACCTGCCAAAGCTCCCCATCTACCAATATCAGAGCCAGGCAGGAGATGAAAGGTGCCTATTAGGTCATCTAATCCCCTGCCCTCGGGCACTGCTAGTATTTCCTCATTCTCCCAGCTTTCCCCGTGCTTTCTCCCATTTATCTCAGATGACCAGGTTTCCAAGCCTCTCATAAGAGGCGTATCTGTTAGGGAAATGTGCTAGAGTTCATCATGTTACTTCCTAGCTTTCTGTGCCAAGTCTGGCACAGGCAACAGCATTCCCCCTCCTCCCCTCTCAATGCTCCTTCAGGACAATATTCCCCTATCACCATCACCACTGAGCCAATGTTCTCTGTCATATTTTCCCTAAATCAATCCTTTATCAAACATGTCTCCTCCTAAGGAGAGGAGGGCTCAGAAGTAGTGGGGGTGCTGTTTCCCCTACCTGGAGTCTGGGGGCCATGAGGCTCTCTAATGAGGAGTTGCCTCAATACCTCAGCAAGATTAGTCTATACATTAGTCTTACAAGACCACATGCTGCTGATTCTACTGAAAAGATTCATCCATCTCAAACTGCTACATATTCCCTAGCTTTTCCTGATCCTCTGGCTGCAAACGCATACTTACTCTTCTGACTTCCCTCGCACTATGTGCATGCCTCTTTTATGGCACTATGTATGGCCCCTATGGTACTTGGCTGTAATGAGGTCCCTTAACAGACTGTAAACTCCCTGAGGGCAGGGAGAGAGGGGTTTATGTAACTTTATATTTTTCTCCAGAATCTGCCCCCTCCTCTAATTCCTAGTACAGTGTCCTGCATATAGTAGGTGCTCAGTAAATATTTGTTGAGTTTGAAATATTTGCATTAGGGCTTTCCAAAGGTGAACACAGACCACTGACATTATATATTTGTTGTTTAGTGGATTATATTTTTCATACCGAATTTCTCTGTACTTTCAGCACACACCTAGAACTTGACTGTGGCTTCTGAATTATTTCTCCATCAAAATATTTTCATTCTCTCTCTCCTCACCAAGTTATGATCATGACATCTCTGCCTCTACCCAAATTGCTAAAGAAGCATGATGCCTAAAGATGAGGCATCTTGGAAATCCAGAATTATATGGCCCTTTTCTACTGCCCTTTAGCATTTAGAGAAGTTTTTCCTGTTCTCCAGGTCATCCTCAAATGTCAGACTAGTAGATCTGTTTTCTTTTCATAATCTGGTTCTTTATCAGATGAGTCACTAGAGAAATAGCTCAGTGTCTATCTTGGGGCCTGTGCCATGATTAGCATAGACCATGGAAGAGACCGTCTTGTAAGCAAAATCCCAGGATAGGATATGTGTGCAGTATAAGCATATAAAGTAATGTCACACATATACCAGAACTTACATGTGTGAAGGAGTCCTGGATTCTCAAAGTGGGTAAGCACTAATATCAACAGTGCTGCCATTACTCAAAACATTTTTGGAATTCCTATCAGGAGGTGGCTCAGGAGAGCAAGAACTATTTCACACACTGATCCCAAAGTGCTTCCAGAATCTCTGATTTTGTTGGTGAGTTCTCCTTCCTCCAATGCAGATCAAAACTTGATAGCCAGAAGATGTGGCTGAAGCAACTGGGGTTTTCCCTCTGAATTTAGCTCTGATGGTTGTTGGATAAGAGATAGTCTATTTCTGAGCTCATTCTTAGAGTTCCTACTAAGCCTTTCGAGCTCAGAAGAGCCTGAAAGAAACTTACACTCCCCTAGTACAGTTTATGTGAACTGAACACCACCTTTACACCACGATGAGGCATCACAGTAGATTCAAGCAGAAAGCTCTGTTACGTTTGTTAAGATGGCCCTGCCTCATCTGGAATTTAGCTCTGACCCAGTAAGATGAGAGCAATATGAAGCACATGTCCAAAGTCCCATGAATAGTTCCTAGGATTTGGTCTCGTGACAATCAATTTCAATTTGTTCCATTTAAAGAATCCTTTGTTTGGTAGGTAAACCTCTTCTTAAGCCATTCTACCCAGACAGAGAATGCCCAGGTTTTAAATCTCTGGTGGGGGAACATTTAATCCAAATGCTGTCTTTAGGCAAAAGGTGGTCAGGTGTGGTCCCTGGACTTAGAAACCTGTATACTGGCCTGCATTGCAAGATTTAGTTCAATATTATTTGGCCAATGTTCCTGACTTAAAGTAGGGAAGGGCTGTGCATGACAACATTTCCTCTGGACAACTCTCATCCTTCAAAAGATCCAGGATTTCATAGGGGTGAGTGCTCATGATGCAGAGTATAGTCTCTCTAGGCCTTAAGAGACTTTGCAGAGAGCTGCTGTGGCCAAAAAATTCCTCCCTTTGTGGCTGATCTTCTGTTGATAAGCCTTTTCACACTGAACTGGACTGATCCTCAGATGACATCATCATCCTCATCATGACAACAACAGCATTTATTTAGCACTTTATAAATATTATCTCATTTGATTCTCACAACAACCCTGGGAGTTAGGTGCCATTATCCCTATTTTATAGATGATACAGAGGCAGAAAGAGGTTAAGGGACTTGCCCAGGGTCACACAGCTAATAAGTGTCTAAGGCTGGATCTGAATTCAGCTTTTCTGGACTCTAGTCTGGGTGCTCCATCCACTGCGCCATCTAGTTGTCTCAGTAGCTAGGTCCACATCTGAAGCCCTTCAAACTTGGTAGAACCTGCTGCAGTTTGGGCTCTGTTGGCACAGCTTTGGAGAATCCAGAGTTACCACCACATACATTTACATAGCACTTAATAACTGTTTAAAATGTTTTAGTGATGCTTTTCCCACTGACTCCTTTCTACCAAGAAAACCTTCCCTCACAACAAATAAGTATAGTTAAGCACACCCTCCTCCCCCCAACCAATTGGCCACATCTGACAGTGTCTGCCCCATTCCACTCCTACAATCCACTTCCTCTCTGCTGAGAGGCAAAAGGTGAACTTCCCTATAGGTCTTCTGAAGTCATGACTGATCACAGCATTGTTTTGAGTGCTGAGATCTCTCAGCTAAATCTTCCTTTACATTATTGTGGTCATCATGGAAACTGTTATGCTAGTTTGCTTACTTTGTTCTAAATGTGTTTCTAAGAGTCTTCCCGAATCTACCTGAATTCCTTGTATTTTAATTTCTTATGGCATAATGGGGGCAGCTAGGTGATGCAGCGGATAGGGTGCCGGTCCTGGAATCAGGAAGACTCATCTTCCTGAGTTCAAATCTGGCCTCAGACACTTGCTAGTTGTGTGACCCTGGGCAAGTCACTTAACCCTGTTTGTGTCAGTTTCCTCATCTGTAAAATGAGCTAGAGAAGGGAATGACAAACCACTCTAGTATCTTTGCCAAGAAAACCCCAAATGGGGTCACAAAGAGTCAGACATAACTAAAAATGACTGAACAACAAAAACAACACAATAATATTCCAGTATATCCATATACCATACTCTATTCAGTCATTCACCAGTGGAGAGACACCCATTTTCTTTTTAGTTATTTGCTACTACTAAAAGAATTGCTATCAATATTTTTGGTAGGTATAGGATCTTCCCCATTTTCTTTTTACCTCCTTGTGGGATCTATCTTTGGGTCAAACATTACTATGTTAAAGTAGAGTGACTTTTAAAAAACTATATTTCAAAATTATTTTCCAGAATAGATTAGAACACCAGAAGCGCTGTTCACAGTACCGTCAACAGTGTATTA